ATTTCTCAATAAATTTTAAAATCAAGGATTAGATGAAGATTATTAGGCTAAACAAAAAGACACATGACATGGCCTCAACTGAAGATTTAAAACTTCAGATCAGCACATGTGACATCCACTCAAAGTAACAACATTCAGACTTAATCATGCTTTAATCTAGAGTAGAGATACAAATAATGGAGCAATATGATAGCTGTGAATCAATTAAGGCCATGATAGGAAACCATTTAAGAGATGTAACTAAGGTTAATTGATGGCTATTGCTTAAGGGGTGTGATTTGGATAAGGCCGAAGCCCTAAACAATCAAAGTAAGGCTCACCTTCAAATATCGTTGAAATATGTTGTTTTAGTATCATGAATCTTTATGATGAACTGAAAAGTTATTTTCCATCTAATTATAAAATTTAAAGATTAAAAAATAGTGTACATTGAGCAGATTTATGAATACTTGAGAATCTTAAAAATTGACGGTCTGGATAATACATTACAACATGCATTGTTTCCACGACTTGAAATATGTTTTTTCTCATGTCCGTACATCTTGAGGTCGAGATGATCAAATTGAGAGTTTTTCAGCATCAAAACAATCCCTTCCAGTGAATTTTTAAGCGCGCCATAATTTGATTGTTTAGGGCCTCACCATTATATAAATTTTTTCCTTATTTAAGTGGAATAGTCAAAATAATTCATAAATTTTTCTTTAGTTTGGTGAAACATGGGAAATCAACCATTGCCACAAATGAAATTCTTCAAGTACATGGTGGGGTAAGTATGGAATACTTGTGCTAAAAGAACAAGAAAGACAAAACTGGTGGGGTAAGTAGGAATTGAACAAACCCTAATGAAACAAGAAACAAAACCAAAGATATTCAATTCAATAAACCATGGTGGACACTTGGCCCCCCTCAAAAGAAGGCTTCGTTGGAATAAGTTTGACTAAAATACCCTTAATTTTTACCCCCCCCCCCCTCCCCCATTTGAAACATTAGTCGTTAATCAAATCAACATTCTTAGGGGATTTTAAAAGTTTGGTTCATGAAATCATTGCATAGCTACAAAAGGGCTTGCTATTAAAATTTAGGGAAATTTATCAAAATATCTATAAAAAATAAACTATTTAAGAATTTACCTATATATTTTATTTAATTTTGAAATACCCATCAAAAGACATGCGATCATAAGTTAGAATAGTTACAAATGGGCGACATGTTAAATTTCAATAAATTTTAAAATGGAGCAAAGAAATACTAGAAATGATATTGTTTTTCCGAACAAAGTTTTGAACTAAAATTCAATAAAATGAAATCTAGGAAAATATATTTGAACAAAAACTCACATATTTTTGGAACTTTTTTTTTAAATGGTCTACAAATGATATCACTAAGATATTAACAACATGATGGAAAATTGGGACATTGGTTAATCGTAAGGCAATCTATAACTTCCATATATGTGTACAGTGAAAAATGCACATCATCCACCATCCGTTCACAAAAGTAATAGTGGACATGATCCATGGCCCCTCACTTGGTCATGATGTTCGTTGTTCGCGCTACGGCTCATCACTACTGTACCTTTGGGGAATGTGTGGTGGACGCCCATCACGTGTATTTTCTTAACATTAAGTGCGTTGTAGTTTGAGGTTTTTATTGTTAAGATTTAAGAATTTTTTTATATGCGGAAACAAGAATCCAAAAGTTGGATTCCATTATGGTTGTGTACTTATCTAACTAAAAATAAAATAGGAGAGAGCACGAGCTATAACACGAAAAATGAAGCATGAACTACACATACCGCAAGAGCACAAAGATTTACGTATTCAGCTCATAATGGCTACATCTATGGGCACGGCAAACTAAAATCCACTATAATAATGAAAGTTACATTACAAATATTGGGACATAGAGTTATCGCTATAACCCTCGACAAAACACAGTTGAGTAAACTCTTTTAGACCTAATCTCCCCACCTTTACTATCGTTGACCTCTCATATCTATTTCACAACTAAACCACTGTCCAATAAGAGATCATCTACATTCCACAATTAAACCACTGTCTAAGAGGAGAACCTTGAGAGCAACTAAAACTCTCTCTCTCTAAAGGGGAAACCACCCAAAATCTTTGTGGAAACCGCTTCTCTACAAGAAACTAGCCTCTCAATTAACTGGAGGTACATCCGTGGTGTGTCTCTCTATTGGAAGCTCTCTTTTCTCTAAGGGAGGAGTTGCCACATTTTTCTCCGTTGGAAGCTCTGTTCTCTCTAAAGGAGGCATTACCAATGCTGACGAGGCCATGCCCCTCTCTCTCTAGAGGAAGCCACATTTCTCATATGGTGACCCAAATAGAGCATACCAATTCTCTGCACTTTCTCATCATTTATATATATATATATAAGGTTCTCTGCAATTTCCTATCATATATATAAAGTTAGGAATCCACTTTAAATAAAAAACTTCCTATAAATGTTACATATATCTCAAGAAGCAAGAGATATATCGCAGAGTTCTAAGTTTTTTGGATTTCTATTTCGTTTAGAAAACTTATCAATATTAATCTCAATCTCATATAATATGAGATTTCTTTATGTGAATGATTTTGGATAATCACCATATCCAACATATATAAGGTGCCCTCATTATACAGGAGAAGTAAGCTATATCTCTAAATTTTGCTAAGAGATATTACTCTATGATGGCTTGAAAATCTACTTTTTATTTCTTGATATAAAATTTGAAATTCTAACAATTATATAGACCGGGTATTTCTATAAATATCTGAAAATAGATTGTCCAAAAAACTTGTTACAAAATGCACTACTTTTAAGGTTTGAAGTTTGTTTTTCTTCATATTCATATGGTTTTGACCTATCCAGTTTTACAAAATGGGCAGATGTAAATCTGGAAAGTGCATTTTGGAAAATTTAAATTTCTAAAAATTATACAGACCAGGTATATCTATAAGAGATATTCGAAAATAGAAGAAAAAATAGTTGTAACCTCCTATACAAAAGGTAAATGATCTCTTTTCGGGCAATCCCATATATTATACTTTATATTTTCTACAAAGAAATTATTATGGGGGACTATGTGATCTTTGATTCTTGTAATCTAGAAACCAAAAATCCACCAAATGTACGTGTAATTGCACGGTTTCATCTTAGAAACAAAAAAAAAAAATCATAATGTGGAAATTATTGTATAATGTATATTGAATAAAAAAAAAGGAAAAAAATTTATGATAATAGAGCAGATGTATAAAAAAAGAGAATAAAGAAGAGATGACACACAAGATCCACGCATCCTATGCGTGGATAATGGCGGGCCCATGTACACAAGACATTCTTGGCATTTTCTCTCTCCTTCCACACGTGCAAGATGCTCCTTCTTTCACTTTCATGAAGAAACAGAAGAATGGTAAGTTTCTTCAATTCTTTCTCCGTCTCTCTCTTCTCTAACTAATTCCTAACAAAAAGTTAAAAGAGGATAGGTTTCCGATATCCATGAATTTCAGGAGAAAAAATTAAAATAAAGTAGCTTCTCTCTCTTCTCAAGAAAGGAATCCCATATTTCAGTTGTAGGGTCGCCTGGCTGGACCAAGACCTGGATTGGAACCCCCAATCGGAACCAACCCAAAAATTAAATATGAAAATATTTAATTATATTTCATATATTAGAACTTGAAAAATATTATTGGACCTAGATTTGGACCTAAATTGAGTTCAAATTCAAAATTTGGATCTGGACCCGACCCCCCAAGTCCAAAACCCATACCCAGATCCAAATCAGATCTACCCCTTGGGTCCCGTGTTGGGTCTAGGTCCATGCCACCCCTATTCATCTTACTTGGATTCCTAGAGAAACCAATGAAAAAGCAAAGCGACCTTGTCCTTCACACACTCTCTTGAAAAAACATAGGGACATAATGACCTAGCCTTCTCTCTCTCTCACTAAAAACTAATAAAAAGCACCTTTAACATCCTTTAGAAGGAAACAGGGTCTCCCTCCACTTTCCACATTAACTTTCAAAGGTAATAGAAGTAAAGCAAAGGGTCCATATAATTAACACACATGTATAACATACTAAGATTTCTTTTCTTTTCTATTCGGAATAGAATGATGAAGGGGAAACTAAAGAGGAATGGGCTTAGGGCATTCCTGGTTAGGGGGCGGGTGTTTCGAACATAATGTTTTAAGCTCCATTCCCACTTAGGATCTAAAATTTTGGGGATGTATCTTCTTCAACCTATGCACTAATTTTCAGTAATAAAAAACTCAAATCTCACTAACTTTCAATAATAAAAAACTCAAATCTCACTATGCACTTGAAAGAAAAAAAATGTTGTCTTGAGATTGAAATGTGACCGTCCAATTTTTTTAGGGTGAGACGGACGGTTAGAAAACTTAGATTTCAAATTTTTCTCTTTTGAAAATAACCAAATTATCATCTAGTTATTCTTACATGGTTCCTAAAATTTCAGATTTAAAAAATCACCTACATAGGTGATCTGTACATTATATGCACCTACAGGGCATTCATAGTAGACACACACTATAAAAATACCCAATCTCAACCATTCGCCCTTTTTATATGCTACAAAATTGCTATAGTCGGATGATACTGTAGATTTGCTCCCTCTAATGAAATATCTACTTGGGATGATATTGTTTAGACTTCTCTGTGCTTATTTAAATACAAAAAGAAAATTTTGATTTTGAGTTTTTTAACACTTAGTCTAATTGGTCTGTCTTCATTCAATCTTGAGATATTATTTTTTCAAGTGCCATTTAAAGATATTTCTTTTCAAAGTTAATGGTCTGGTTGAAGAGGTTACATCGACGTTAAAGGTCCCCCCTTGGTCCTAAATTGGGTATTACATGAGGGAGTAAAAAGACAGTTTGATCCAGCAGAAGCACGAACCCCAACATTAAATCGATGGTGACCCCTTTCACCCTTAAAAAGCCTTAAACACGTAATAGAAGTTGCAACACCCCTCATTTTCTCTCTCTAAGAATATAAAACCCTCCTCTATTTCTCTCTCTAAACCCCCACCCCGCCCCTCTCTTTCTCTCTCTAAATCCCTTCCCCTCCCATCGAACAACCCCGGAATCTCTCTCCAGAACGATGGTCTCGCCTCCTCCGCCACTCGACCCCAAACGCCTCTCCGCCGCCAAACCTCTGGGCCGCGGCGCCACCGGCACTGTGTTCCTCATCACCCCCGACACCACCACCACCACCAACACCGCCACCACAGAGAATTTCGCACTCAAAGTGGTGGATATCTCTTCCCCTTCCTCTGCTCGTCGAGCTCGACAAGAGCTCTCTGTCCTCTCCCGCCTCAACCACCCCTTTTTGCCCTCGCTTTTGGGCTCTTTCGAGTCCCCGGCTTCTGAACTGATTGGGTGGGCAATTCCGTTTTGTACAGGCGGCGACCTTAACGCTCTCAGAAGAACCCTAACGGACCGGACGTTTTCCTCCTCAGCCATACGTTTTTACGCCGCCGAAATCGTTCTTGCCCTCGACTCCCTTCACCGTTTGGGAATCGTTTACCGTGATTTGAAGCCTGAGAACGTTCTCATCCAAGATAACGGCCATGTTATGCTGATGGACTTCGATTTGTCGGCCATTCTGGAGCCGACGGCCTCAGATTCCGGCGACATTTCGCCGATAAACGAGTCGGAATTCCGGCGGAAGAAGGGGGGAAACACGGCGAGGGTTTCGCCGGCCGCGAGGAAGGGCGGCCTGAATTCTTTTGTGGGGACGGAGGAGTACGTGGCGCCGGAGATCCTCAGAGGCGACGGCCACGATTTCGCCGTCGACTGGTGGGCCCTGGGCGTGTTGCTGTACGAGATGATGTACGGCCGCACTCCTTTTCGAGGGAGGTGCAGGAAGGAGACGTTTCGTAACGTTCTGGAGAAGACGCCCGTTTTTTCGGGGCCGAAATGTCCGCTAAGCGATCTGATTACGCGGCTCCTCGAGAAGGAGCCGGAGCGGCGGCTCGGCTTCAAGGCCGGCGCCGCCGAAGTCAGGAGACACGCGTTCTTCAGAGGAGTGAGGTGGGAGGAGGTTCCGTATATATCGCGGCCGCCGTTTTTGAACTTTTCGGCGAAAGTTTCGTCGAAGAGTGACGAAGAGATCGATGTCTTGGAGTACTTCCAGCGGCGGCGCGCCGCCAAACCGGCCGAGAAATCGGCTCGGGTCAGCGAATCCGACGGTGAGAGGACGTCGTCTTTAACGTGAATTTGACGCGTGTATAGTTGGCCGGAGCGGAGGGGAAAGCGTGCGATACACAGGTTGTGTATGGTACAGGATAAACTAGGGGGAAACCCAGTTCATGATACACGAGTTGTGTATGGTATGCTTTCGAGTTGGGAAACGGGTCACTTGAGGTGATCGATCTGGGGTTGCTGACGGACTCGTTGGTTTGCAACGGATTTTCCGACGAGTTGTGAAGTCGGAAGTTTGTTACTGGTTTTTTAATGGGAAGGACGATTTTGCCCACCAAAGTAGATGGAAATCCCTCCTCCTGCTAGTAATGGAAGTATCAATTGTAACTTTTTTATTACCCTTGAAATAATTGGCCTAAATAAGAAATCCTCTAAGGTTTTTTTTTCCTTCTCTTTTTTTTTTAAATGTAAGAAATCATGAAAAGTTTGTGAATACTTTACTCATGTGACTTTTTGTGCTCTATTTTCTGGCTCTACTCATATGAGATATGACTTCTTTGTGCTCATTTTTCCGGTTGCACTACTGCGAGTAATTTTTTTATGACGGTGGGGTTGCAATGTCCTCTAGTCACTGAAATGGTAAGGAGTTTGTCCGAATTTTAGAAATGAGGAAAGAAACGTTATTTAATCAAAGAACACACCCAAAAGAGAGAGAGAGGAGTTTTGTTAGAAACCGTTATGAGCGTCCGAATCATTTTCCATTTGCTGGTCCAGACCTGGTAGCCGTTCCTACTTCCCTCTCTGGGATCATTACGCGTGCTTCAATGGCTTCTTTTTTTCTTCCATGGCCATGGTTGCGTTCAGAGAATTAGATTTTTCTTTCCATTGTTGAGTTAGAATTAGAAAGGGTGAAAGAAGTTTTCCGTTTTTACTTTTTGGGAAAGTATAATGAGTAGTGTTAATGTGAAGCCCCCGCCTCAGGCAAACACCATGAGTCCCCAATGAAAAATGGCTGGTTCTTGCACATGCTCATTATTATGAAGAAGTTTACCTGAGGTGTCTTCTTTATAGGGTAGAAATAAGGTACACCTCAAAAAGATTATCTTAATGTAAAAAAGGCATATAGATGATCAGTCAATTTCGAGATACATATATACCAAAAAAAAATACTTCAACTCCTAAAAATGATTCATCTTGAGGCATTTTCTACACCATCTATTTGTAAGGTGTTTTTACCTTTTCTCAATCTACACTACTTTTTTACTTTTAAATTTCGTAATTGAAGGCAAAAATAGATTTTTTTTTTCGGATAAACAGGTGAAAATAGATTTTAAGACCAAAGGATTTTTGGCACTAAATTTATCTCTTTTGGCCAAATTTAGAAGTGCACCTTTTGATTGTCTGACATTGACCTTTCAAACACAATCTAGTGATCTATATTCCCATTTCATTAGGCACAATAAGTGATTGAAAAACCAGTCGAGTAGTAAGTTACTCAGGCTCAAGCCTTTCTTGAGCTTGAGTTATCCAAAGTTAGGTGTCCAACTTAGGGATATTAAAAAAAATTCAAAAAATTAATAAAAAACATCTAAAAAATAATAAATTTATTTTGGGATATGTTTTTTATGTATTTTTTTATCATTTTGACAAAGATTGGAAAGTGTTTTGACCCTAAATACTTATTTCTACAATTTTTTTTCTCTCTTTTAGATTATTTAAAAAATACCTCCACTCACAAGTTGATTTTTAAAAGTCTATTTTGTTGCTACTTTTTTACCACCATATATAAATGTTTTGCTTAATCTTATTTTAAACATATATTTCTTTTTTATTTTTTTTTATATTATATGTAATGTTTTTATTTTTTATTTTTATTACTACAGTACTCACCACTAATCGGGCTAGTAATCGGAGCCATAATCGATTACTCGTCCCTTTCTAACACTTGCAAAAGAGAAAAGAGGGTGGTAGAGAGAGAGGGAAAAAGGGCTCGGTAAGAGTGGGTGGGTGGCTCAGGAAGAGACATAGAGAGGACAAGCAAGCGTGGGGTTGGTCAGCGGTCCTTTTACGCCATTGATGGTGCACGAAGAACGAGTCCTTTACTGAGGTACTCCCATCTATATTTGTTTGATACTTCTTCCTCATGCCAAGCTTTATTTGTATCATCATTAATTAAAGTTGGGGTGCCTATGCCTATGCTTATTATCATAGGGAATTGCAAATCCTCACATTTATTTGAGCCTAACATTCAACGAAACAAGTGAATAAGAATAGAAATAGAAGGTTCATCCCACCAAAACAAAACAAAACAAAGAGGGGTTACGGGTGTGGCCCACAACACACAAGGCCCAAAAAAGTGTGGTTGTCTTATTATCTCACCGAGCCAATGGCCCTAAATTCGGGGGACAACATGCGTACCTTATGGTCCACCGTTTTTTATATCAGCTATGGTAGGAAAAGGACAAGTCTCTCCCTCTCTAGGGGTGGCAATGGACCCTAACACTCATGGGACCCGACCGACAGGTAGACCCGACCACGGGCCTGGGTATGGATCTAAATTTTGGACTCGAATGCTATTCCTATCTCTATCTCGAATTAGTCACGGGGGCAAGGGAAAATTGCAGTGAAGAGAATAAAAAGGTGAGCCCACTCAAACACCTTGGCGAGTTTGAGCATCTTTTAATTGGGGGGATTCGATTAAGGAATTTTAAAAATTTTAAAAATCTAAAATCTAAAATCTAAATCTAAGAAATTTTTTTATAATATATTTTTTATTTTCTATGATTTTATCAAAGATTGGAAAGTGCTTTGGCTGTGGATGCTTATTCGTATTTTTTTTTTTTTGGATTATTTCTAAAATATCCCGTCATAAATTGATTTTTTGAAAAAACCATTTTTGCATTATTTTTTTATAAATATGTTCGTTTAATTTTATTTTAAACATATATTTTTTATTTTTTAAAATTTTTCTATTTTTTATTTGGCTAAGTTGAGTTACTCTATTAGGCTAGGGGTTTTTTATCATTCGGAGAATGATAGATCTCTCTCTAGAGCGCCTAAAGGCTACTCCATGGGAACGCAAACAGAATAAGAAAATCCCTTCTTATAAAAAATCACGAGGATATTGTAGGCGTAAAATATTGGGATCTACTTTATAAGCTAAAAGATATTGCACTCCTGTACCTTCGTGTAAAAACCCATGTAGGAATAATACCGAATTTCGCAGACGCAAGTATTTCAAACTGTATACTAACAGCAGCAAAAACAATTTCCTATGCACTTCAAAAGAAACGATGCCTCAAGATTGAATGGAGTATCTAATTTTTAAAGGGTTCACAATGTTGGAACACTCAAAATTCAAACTTTTTTCTTTCAAGAAAAACTTAAAAAGACTTCAACAAAATTTAAGATTGAAAACATCCTCCCAAGTAGGTCTTCATAAGTATTTTTGAATAAATTACCCTCAGTTTTCAAACACTTACCATCCAAGATTTAGGAAGAATCCATTCAATTTTTTCTCTTTGATTTACTAACATTAAAACTAATGGTCTCCTTTGAACCTTGAGATATTGGCTAGGACACTTAAGGAGTGTAATTTCATTTTTATAAATTAATGTCTAGATTGAGGAAATTATATTCCTAATGCAGTGTTGAAAAATATTCCTAAAAAAGGTTTTATCAAAGGGAATGAATGCAAGACATATTCTCAGCATACCACTCATTCAGACGCAGCCAAGATGCCCATTGTCATGACTAAAAATTGGTATATCCCAATAAGGGATTACAGTACAACACCAAAGGGTAAGAAGAAGACGTGTGGGTAGAAGGATTGTGACTCGTTATGATATTATCAACCACGCGTGGCCACCATTACACACTCGTGAATGGGCCTGCAAGAATGGGGGCCGTTTTGATGGTTCTCTCATATTAAATGAACAAAGAGGAGACACATCGGCACGGACAATCACAGTGACGCCAACAACAGTGCACTCCTTTGGCTTTTAGACAATGTGGTTTTCAAAGAACTCCTTCGATTGATAAACCCCAAAAAATACAAGCAATTTCTAAGACACTTTTTAAGTAATTCTGGTACCTATTTTAATGAATTCATGTCACGGAAAACAAGGAATTTCATGAATTACATCCCCCCCTTTCTCTGGGAAAGGAAAGCAAGTACAAATTTCTTGAGGATCATATGTTTTGGATTAATCTAATTGGCGATAAACTGGATTCCAACCAAATGTGAGGAAACTTGGGTCCACAATAACTGGTTTCATCTCAAAGGGCAAATCAACCCCCCACTCCTTTCTCTCTTGATGTTGACGAGCATATATCACCAACCTCTCTCTCTCTCTCTCTCTCTCCTCTCTCTCTCTCTCTC